TTTTGCTCTTGTTGCCCAGGCTGGAGTGCAATGGCGCGATCTCGGCTCACTGCAACCTCTGCCTCCTAGGCGATTTTCCTGCCTCAGCCTCCTGAAGAGTTGAGAATACAGGTGCCCACCACCAAGTCCAGCTAATTTTTGTATTTTTAGTAGAGATGGGGTTTCGCCATGTTGGCCAGGCTGGTCTTGAACTCCTGACCTCAGGTGATCCACCCACCTCAGCCTCCGAAAGTGTTGGGATTATAGGCGTGAGCCACCACGCCCAGCCCCCATTTTTTTTGATATTAAAAATGCAATGAAAAAAGAGAAGAAAAGGTTTATTTGGCCAAAAAAATCATAATGACTTTAAGATGTATAATTTAACACCAATTTCTTCCTTCAAAAGTTAAAGGCCCATGACCATTTTAAGTGATATGATTAGGAAAAATACAATTGTGTGATGAAGTACCATTATCAGGTTTCAGCTGCCTGGTTAGACTTCACCGCAGGACTAGCCCTGTCTGAAAACATCAGATTCCAGTGTTGTGAATAAGAAAGTAGCCCCCATTAGTCCATCCTTCTATCGGGGGACGTAACTTTCCTCCAGCGTTGAATCGCTTTTCTAGGTGGAAAGTTTTGGATATAACTCCTTCTGACCTGTTCCTCTCCAGGCCAGACCCCTGAACTTTCCTGAGGAAAGGAAGCAGCCCACAACCTTTCTCTGCCTCATGGTCTCCATGCAGACTGGAAAAAAGAAAATAATACTGCCAGAAAACTTGAGTTCCGCTTCTGGCCCAGTCACTCGTGTGCAATGTAGAAAAATTAACTTCATTTCCCTGGACCTCAGGTCCTCATGAATGTAAAGAAGTGTGCTACTTGCTCTGATACTTCAAAAGACAGTTTATGGAGTAGCAAATGATGTCATGAAAAGAATGAAGGCTTTGGAGTCAGCCAGATCTGGTTCATTATTCAACAAATCTTTATTTAGCATCTACTATATGGCAGGTGCTATTCTTGGTGCCAGATGCTGCCTATGTGAAGCTCACATTTTAATATGTGGACCAATACTAGTTAGTCTGTGGCCTTGGGCAAATCATTTAGCCCCTCTAAGCTTGTTTTTTCCACCTATAAAATGGACATTATAATAACATTTCAAGATGCGTTGTCAGGATTAGATACAATGATATTCAAAGCACCTATTATACAGTAGAGGCTCAATGAATGGTATGTAAATAATACTATACAATATATGAGAAAACACTTTTTTCAATTGTACAATTCTATTCAGATATGCAAATTATTATTTTTTTCTCTGTACTGTGTGACTCTAAAGCCATAGACAATCACAAAATTACACTGCAGATTTAATAAATTTCCTTCTCTTTACTGCCTTAAAAGCAACTTCATTTATCAGAGAAATATTTTTTGAGTCTCTACTATGCAGGGATATGGAAATAAATGAGACTTCCCTGCCCTTACTTAGGATCATAACAGTAAATGTTTGGATTTCACCAGGGTCCTCACTTTTGGAGAGCTTATTCTTCCAGAGTTTATATTAGTTATTGACTGCTTAGAAAGAAATCAAGAAAGGAAAACAACTCTCTACTTGGCAAGTGGGTTAAGCTAAGGTGTTATTAGAGAGACCTAAAGCTCTGTATATAAGACCCCTGGCAATCTCACTCTACTCAAAATGAAACAGGAGAACACATCTTCCTATAGCTGCCTTAGAGGTAAAATTTCAATCTACCAACATCTTTTGCAACAGAAGAAAATCAATTAAGTTATTTACTATACCCCACCACGTGACCAATGTTGTTACACATGTTTCAGAAATATAAATGAAAATAAGGAGATATTCCTAGAGATCAGCAGGAGACATGACACCTGCCCTTGAGGTAGGAGGTAGAATGTGTTCATTTATTTACTCATTTATTTAGACATGAACAATCTGTTTAGTAGCCATGGCGTTTGAGGAATCACACTGAGTGCTGGGAACACTAAGTGGGAGAACCAATAAAGTGGAAGAACAGTTATTGAGCACCTATTGTGCACCAGGCACTGCCCATCATTTCACTTTCATCATCTCAATGCATTTCCATCAATCCTAAAATAATTTTTTTTAAAAAAAAGGTTGTATGCTTCGACCTAAAGGCGTTCATTGGGGTGTGACAGGTCAGAAAGCATCAATCCACAGCAAGAAGGAATGCCATGGAGGAAAAGGTCCCGAGCCAGTGAGCTCAGTAGAGGAGAGAATGGTTCACTGTCCCCAGAGGGTAGGAGCAAGCTTTGCAGAGGTTGTGGCATTCTAGTTTTTAAGCAGGAGCAACACAGGTGAAAGAGATCACTACGAGGTAGGCAGGGATACAGATGACAGAGAGATAGGGATTGACAGCACAGACTATTCGTGCTACAGGAGCTGGCCAAACCCCAAGGCTCTCAGAACACCAGGTTACCAGTTGTTTCCCAAGCATTCACCCAGAGTAGTTGCTCATCTGAGAAACTCTGTTTCCCTGAAATAATGACACTGGGATTCAGATTTCTAGCCCAATTCATGGTGCACTTGGGGCCTCACTTATAATTCATTCTTGGTTTTATGAAGAAAACAGTTTCCTTCTGCTCTGTGCTCTGTTTTAGAGTCAGGAGCTGATCTTTGCACTGATGCCATGCCAGATCTTTATTTGTTTTGTGCTGATAAGATTTAGGAGTGAGAAGTGGAAAACAAACTGATCCTCTCTATCTCCCACTACTGGGTTTTGATAGATAAAGTGATCCTCTTGAAGTTTTTCTTCTTTCATTTGGAAAGTGTCATAAGATACAGGTTAAGCTGGGCGCAGTGGCTCACACCTGTAATCCCAGCACTTTGGGAGGCTGAGGCCGGCATATCATGAGATCAAGAGATCCAGACCATCCTGGCCAACTTGGTGAAACCCTGTCTCTACTAAAAATACAAAAATTAGCTGGGCGTGATGGTGTGCGCCTGTAATCCTAGCTACTCAGGAGGCTGAGGCGGGAGAATCGCTGGAACCCGGGAGGTGGAGGTTGCAGTCAGTAAGCCGAGATCGCTCCACTGCACTCCAGCCTGGTGACAGTGCAAGACTCCATCTAAAAAACAAACAAACTATATATATATATAGGTTATATATATATATAGGTTATATATATAATATATATAGGTTATATATAATATATATAGGTTATATATATAATATATAGGTTATATATAATATATAGGTTATATATATTATATATATAGGTTAAGCACTAAGGTACGGTGTCAAGCTGGGAATGATGGCTTACGCTTGTAATCCCAGAACTTTGTGAAGCCAAGGGGAGGGTGGATCACCTGAGGTCAGGAGTTTGAAACCATCCTGGCCAACATGGTGAAACCCCATCTCTACTAAAAATACAAAAATTAGCAGGGTGTGGTGTCGTACACCTGTAGTCCCAGCTACCCAGGAGGCTGAGGCAGAAGAATCGCTTAACCATGGGAGGCAGAGGTTGCACTGAGCCAAGATTGTGCCACTGCACTCCACCCTGGGCAACAGAGTGAGACGCCATCTCAAAAAAAAAAAAAAAAAAGTGTGGCACCAGATTGATATAAGTTCAAATCCCAGATCTACTTCTTATTAGTTGGGTGATCTTGAGTATTGACTTTTCACCCAAATTTGGACCCAAATTCTGAGAGGTGAGATACAACTATAAATGTGGAGTGCACCAAGGAAAAATTTAGAGAGCTCTTCTTTACCCCTCTGTTGTTTGAATAAACTGGTATAACTCAGTGATCCCGTCTACCGCATCAAGGCCATGGAGAAAGAAAAAAGCAACCACAGGCTAGCTCTCTAACTGGTTTGCTCTTCACTGCCTAATTCAGCAAGCTAATTTACCGGATCCACAAGGAAATTTTTGAGAGTTTTTTTGCCATAAATATGGTATACAGGCTCCACTTTATCTTGGAGGTCTGCGATTATGTTCAGAAAACAGCTTTTATTGGAAAGCTAAACTTGTGAATAGGTAGGAGGCTAGAACTTTCAACTTACAATAATAATAATAGCAATAATAATAACTTTGGGAGGCATTTACTATATGCTAGGCACGATTTTAAGCACTTTATTATGAATTGATTCATTTAATCTTATAGTCATCCTATGAAATAGGTACTATCATTATCTCTATTTTAAGATCAGGAAATTAGGCCAGGCACGATGGCTCATGTCTGTAATCTCAACACTTTGGGAAGCCAAAGTGGAAGGATCCCTTGAGACCAGGAGATTGAGACCAGCCTGGGCAAAAAAGTGAGACCCTGTCTCTACAAAAAATTTTAAAAATTAGCCAGGCGTGGTGGCATGTGCCTATAGTCCCAGCTGCTCGGGAGGCTGAGGCAGAAGGATTGCTTGAGCCTGGGAGGTCAAGGCTTACAGTGAGCCATGATAATGCCACTGCACTCTAGCCTAGGCAACAGAGCAAGACTGTCTTAAAAAAAAGAAAAAGAAAATTGAGCCACAGAGAGGGACAGTGGCTTGCTGACTTGTCGGAGCCAGGATTTTTACCTACGCTGTCTGCTTTAGAGCCTGTGTCATGAACCTCTCTCCAGTTCTATAAGCCAACTTCTTTTAAAATAATTATAATAATAACATTTTGTGTTCTAATTATAAAACTAAGTCATGGTAGGAATTTTTGAAAATAGAGAAAGGGGTAAAGAAACTGAAATTATTTATATTTTTATTACCCAGGGATAACATTTATTAACATTTGGGTCTATTTCCTTTTGGAAATTAAATTGCATATATAATTCTCTTTTCAAATAGCATGACACCATATATGACTTTTTAAATTTAATGTTACAATTTGAGCATTTTCCCATGTTATTAAATATTTTTGTAAACCGTAGATTTTAATGGCTGCAAATATTCCAATTATCTGGCGGTCCCATAATTTACTTTAAAAATCACATAATATTGGGTCATTCGGTTGTTTCCAGTGTTCTTGAGAAATGTTGGTTGTATTTCTGTGTTGGCTTCCAGAGGATGCCGTAGCCTGGTATTTTCAAGAGCTGCCCGGGCTGTTCGAAGAGTGGCTAATTTTCTACTGAAGGGACTGTGCCCGAATCCCTGTCCCCCAAGTAAGAACACCCTAAGCCACTGAAGACAGGTGAGAATTTTGAAAAGTCTCTTGAGTATCTGAATTCTCAGTGAGGGTCCAGAATCTTATTCAATTTTTTTTTAACTTGTATTATTTCCCCCAGTTTAGTAAGTAAAACTTATCTTCTGTAATAAAAAATAAAAAAATAAAAAATAAAAAAGTAGTACATGAAAATGAACAAACAAGAAAAATAAAATTACTCTAAAATCACACCACAGCTTGTCAAGTATTTATCTTTGCACACTACACACTATCTTATTACCTGTTGTTTTACTCAGTGACATAATATGCACATTTTCCTATTAATAAATGTAGGTCATCATACCAGATGGTAGCTGATCTCTGCCCAACTGCTCTCCCACCCTCAGGCCTGATCCCTACAGGCAATTGCTTTTCACTGATTTATGATTGCATGAATATAAAGCGTGGTTCCTCCTTCTCCATTGTGCCACACTTACCAGAGACTAGTTCTTGTACTTTCCAAACTCAAAGCAGCTGTCCTGCCATCAAGGAGTTGGCCTTCTACTGGAGAAGTATATTATTGAAAAAAATAAATAAATACAATAAATCTGTTAAAAAGTGACCCAAAGTGGTGTTTTTCATAAGGGGGAGTAAGGAAATGTGGGAATAAGGAAATATCCAGACCACTTTACAAACCCAAACCCTTTTTCCTATTTATGACACAGCCTATGGTGTTGAGTTTTTCTTGTGTTTCTCTACCTTGAGCTGGTAGAGAAAGGACCTATCGAGTTAGCTACGCCCATCTATGATCCCCCGGTTAAATTTCTGCCTCTGACTTTTAAGGAGACACTTTTACCTCATCTTCTTCCTAATTTTCCCAAAAAGGAGAGTCCTATCCAAGTTGAGTCAGAAGCTAAGTCTAAACTTATTTTAAATGACTGTGTTTGAAATTAGTAAAGACAGGACTCTGAGCCCCTCCAGTCTGCCCAGACAGACTTTTTTTGTTTTTGTTTTTGAGATGGAGTCTCACCCTGTTGCCCAGGCTGGAGTGCAGTGGCACCATCACGGCTCACTGCAGCCTTGACCTCCCTGGGCTCAGGTGTCCTTCCACCTCAGCCTCCTGAGTAGCTGGGATTACGGGCGTGCGCCAGCACACCTGGCTTCTTGTTTTGTATTTTTTACAGACAGGGTTTCACCGTGTTTCCCAGTCTGGTCTCAAACTCCTGGGCTTAAGGCATCAGCCCGCCTCGGCCTCCCAAAGTGCTAACATTACAGGTGTGAGCCACCACACTCAGCTCAGACAGACTAAAGGGATCTTTATACTATAAAGGGATCTTATACCCGGATGAACTGTGTGCTTAGATATTACTATACTAAGACCACAAGTGGTAAAAATCAGATAAAGCAGTAGTCATCTTAGTTTGTGATCAAATTAATGCAGAAAAAGTAAAAAATGGTTCGACGTTATAAGCTCTCTGAGGAAATAGGCAGTTTCAGTTAACACTGCTGCGGCAATCCCTATCTCACAGCTTCAGCTTAATCCCATAGCAACACTCAGAACTCATTTATATTATAATTACGGTTGACCCTCAAACAATGCAAGGGTTAGGGGCACTGCCCTCCCCCTTCATCTTGTACAATAGAAAATTCTCCTGTAGCTTTTGACTTCCCCCAAGCTGAACTAACTTAACTACTAATAGCCTCTATTGACCAGAAGCCTTACTGATAACCTAAACAATTGATTAACACATACTTTATATATGTATTATACACTGTATTTCTATAATACAGTAAAATAAAAGACAATGTTAAGAAAATCATAAAGAAGAGAACATACATTGTCAGTACTGTACTGTATTTATCCATACCAGAAGTTCACACCATCCATTTACAAGATATATCATCTGTCTGAAATGGTGGCAACTGCAGTGTCTGACTGCAAACGGTGGTACATATCAAGCCATTCAACTTTTTCTTTTAATGTCACGACTTTTCTCTTCTTCTTGGGAGCACTTCCAGAATCACTAGTGGCACTTTGTATGGGTCCCATGATGTTATTCAAGGTTTATGGTATTGTACTAAACACGATGAAAAATAGCGAGAACCAGGGGAGATCACTTTTTACTGCAATATGCAATTTACTCAAGAGACAACTGCTCATAAGGAGATTAGGGTCATGTGGTGTTTTAAGCAGATACTCCCAATACTTGAGCTCACAATAGCAACAGGAGGTGGCAATGAAATATTAGAGTAGTACAGTATGTACTGCTGTTAATTTTATGCAGCTATGATTTAATACTGCATTCTTATATTTGCTTACATTTTACTCGACTTCAAATGGTGCCATGTATGGTCTATGTTTGTGTGCGTAAGTTTTGATAAATTTTAACTTTTTATAATAGATTTGTGTATCTTTTATGGTAGTAAATGATAAAGGCTTAGTATCTACATGTATTTTATGCATTCATGATATGACTTTTTCTTAATTGTTTTAATATTTCTAGATATGCATGCAGTTCATCTGTTTTTTCAAATTGTCTCAAATCTCCAAAAATGTTTTCAATATATTTATTTTTAGAAATCTCTGTATGTGGAGTCACACAGTCTAAACTCATGTGTTTCAAGGGTCAACTGTACTTATTATAGTCCCATAATATCTTATTATTTTTGCTTTAAATGGTCAATTATACTTTAAAGAGGTTTTTCTAAATAACAAAAGAGTCTTTTATTACTACTCAAATAGGTACCACTTCTGATTCTCTTCTTTCCTTTGTATAAATCTAGATTTCCATCTGATATCATTTTCCTTCTGCCTCAAGGACTTCCTTTAACATTTCTTATAGTACAGATTTGCTGGTGAAAAGCTTTTAGCTTTTATATGTCTGAAGAAGTCTTTATAAGGTTTTCACTGGGTATAAAATTCTACGTTGACAATTTTTTTTCTGTCAGTACTTTAAAGATGTTGCTTCACTTTCTTCTGGTTTGCATTGTTTCTGACAAGAAGTCTTTCTACTTTCATTCTTATCTTGTTTATTCCATACATAATAAACCTTTTTTTTTTTCCTGGCTGCTTTTAAGGTTTTTCTCGTTATCTCTGGCTTTGGACCATTTGTCATGTGCCGTGGTATAGTTTTCTTCTTGTGTCTTATGCCTGGGTTTGTTGAGCTTCTTGGATCTCTGGGTTTAGAATTTTCATCAAAATTGGACAATTTTCAGACATTATTTCTTCAAAAAAATTTTTGTTCTCGTATTTCTTTCCTGTCTGTTAATGGATTACATTCATACGTTGAAACTAACCCCTTTCAATCTGCTTTTGAAGATGGGGCCTTTAAAGGGGTAATTAAGGTTAAAGTTCTAAGGGTGGGGCCCTAATCCAGTATGACTGGTGTCCATATAAGAAGAGGAAGAGATAACAGGGAGGCACACATAAAGAAAAGGCCATCAGACGAGACAGCAAGAAGGTGGCTGTCCACTGGCCAAAGAGAGAGGCCTCAGGAGAAACAGAACCTGTCAGCACTTTGATCTTAGACTTACAGCCTCCAGGAACGTGAGAAAATACATTTTTATTTAAGCTACCCAGTCTGTGGTATTTTGTTATGGCAGCCCTAGCAAATTAATATACTCTCTCTCAGGACTTCAATTACATATATATTAGGTTACTTGAAGTTATTCCACTGCTTATTGAAACTGGTTTTTTTTCTTTAGTCTTTTTTTCTCCGTATGTTTCATTGTGAACTTTTTTTTTTTAGTTTCCTTCAAGAAAATATTTATTGCACATTATTAGTGATTATGTTTTATAGCAAAATTAAATATATATGCTTTTCACAAACACAAAATGGGAAGCAAGGCATCTATCAAATTTCAATGTTGAACCAAATCCTGGTTTTCAGAATTCAGCAGCCAGTCATGGTTCTGCACCAAGGCCTGCAGTCCGTGATTTCCAGTTGTTGAGGATCTTTTCAGTAATTGGAACAAAATCTTCTTTATATGTGACAGTTGTTTCCACATAAAACCCTTTTGGGGGTTCAGATAGTTCACTGGGTACTCCACTTGTTGAGCCATCCTTTTGCTGTACTTCAATACCTGATGGCTTTGCCATTTTCTAGCCAAAGCAAAGCACTGAGCCCACCAGAGACCAGGTGCCGATCCCATAGACCACCAACATTCGCCGGTACCAGGCCATGAACTGGTTTTGATACTTGGGTATGCTGGCGAGGGCCTCGATTCTCGCAGGCCCACTGTGGAGGCGGCTCATTGTGAAATTTCTATTGCTGTGTCTTCAAAATCCATAAGTTTTTCTTCTGCGTGGTTTAATCTGCCATTATTCCCACCCAACGTATTTTCATCTCAGATGTATTTTTATCTCTAAAAGTTTGGTTTGGGTATCTAAATTTTTTTAAAAAATTTTGTGAGTACATAGTAGGTATATATATTTATGGGATATATGAAATATTTTAGTACAGACAGGCAATGCATAATACTTACTTCAGGGTAAATGGGGTATTTATGACCTAAAGCACTTATCCTTTGTGTTACAAATAATTCAATTATATTCTTTTAGTTATTTTTAAATGTACAATAAATTATTGTTGACTGTAATCACCCTGTTGTGCTATCAAATACTAGATCTTATTCATTCTAACTATATTTTTGTACCCATTAACCACGCCCACACTCCACCCCACCCCCAACTACCATTCCCAGCCTCTGTTAACCATCCTTCTACTCTCTATCTCAATGAGTTCAATTGTTTAACTTTTAGTTTCCACAAATCAGTGAGACTATCTGAAGTTTGTCTTTCTGTGCCTGGATTATTTCACTTAACATAATGATCTCCAGTTCCATCCATGAAAATGACAGGATCTCATTCTCTATTCACGGCTGTATAGTACTTTATTGTGATATGTTCCACATTTTCATTGTCCATTTGTCTGTTAATGGACACTTAGGTTGCTGAGGGAATCTAAATATTTTATTAATGCATTTTATATTTTAGAACAGTTCTAGATTTACAAAAAACTGAGAAGAGGCAGGGCACAGTGGCTCAGCCTGTAATCCCAGAACTTTGGGAGGCCGAGGTGGATGGATCACCTGAGATCGGGAGTTCGAGACCAGCCTGACCAACATAGAGAAAACCCATCTCTACTAAAAATACAGAATTAGCCAGGTGTGATGGCACATGCCTATAGTCCCAGCT